TCCTTAATGTATAAATTGGTGGATAGTAAAAAATGCAGACTGCAGACTGAATGCAGACCATTGTTTTCAGGGTTTGAAAACAATGGGACTATCAGTGGCTTCACAGCTTAGTTGGTTGGAGCATCGCACTGGTATTTTGTTTTTACGCTTCTTACGCAACTGCATAAATCGCGTTCACAACTGCGAGGATCATTCTTCATTTGATTTCATTTCCGCAGTTCTCATATATCATTTATTTCACATGCAGTTATCAATGGGACCATTGTTGTCACGTTCCCATTTGCATGGTGAAAATAATGTTTTGCACTGAAAGCAGTCTGCAGTCTTTATTTTGTACTTATGTTAAATATTGGGACACACATTGTGGCACTTAATTAAAACTGTTTTTAAATTCAAGTAAAATGGGATTTCAGGGACGAGTTTAACTTATATGGATAAATTATTAGGGTTTCATACAAAGACTAAAACATTTTGCCTTCCACGTTTGGGAATGAATATGCTCGTAGTTTTAACAGTAAGTTTTGGACGATACACTGAATAGCCTGCGCAGAGACAGGAGCGAGTGACCGCTGGCGAATTGGACTGTCTGAGAATCATTAGAGTGACTCTTGCCTTATTTTAATAACCCTTTTTAGGAAAAGCATTGCCAGATAGTCCTTCCATGCCTGCAAACAAAGGAAAAAGGGCCCGAAATCTAATTTTCATCCGAAAACAAGATTTATTTTCCTTCTCTATTTTTTCACCACCACTTCCTTGTAGAGCTGAGTCCGCCTCTGTCTCTGCACTCGTAGACTATTTGTTCTGCAATTAAACTACAATCACGGACAAAAGTAGTTGGGAAGGTGGAATAACTTAACAACATTATTGCTCCATTTCATACGCCTTATGCCTATGTTCAAAAAAGATTATTTGTTCTTCTCCTGAATACCCCCCGCGCCCCCTATTCAATGTTGGGACATGTAACAACAATTACGCACAAAAACAATTTGGTTTTGTCCAACATTGATCCAGGGGCGGGGGGACAAGTACAAAAAAGGTAAAAATTGGTAACCTTCCCAACATTTTTGACGATGATTGTAGATTTAACTCTTAATCTTGTTTCTTAATTACTGCGAGACATTTCAATCGTAAAAAACGTCTTCGTGTACTATTGCGTTAGTGGTCCAACAGCTTTAATTGATGCCGACTTTAAAGCATCCAAACAGTGGAAGAGATTAGATTAAGATTTTGGACGCTCCAATAACTTATTAATGATGTTTTGTTGTATTTGTGCTAGGTTGTAAAAGTTGGGCTTTTTATCAAAACGATCAGTTTCAGAACACGTATACAGCAACGTTCTGAGGTTTGGCGCTAGGAAATCACAGCAATCGTTCAAGCTATCATTATCCTATCGAGGATCTGACCTATTTTTGCCGCCTCTAGATTGCTTTTCTCTAGGCCATTGACCTTTAGCCATCCTTCAGTTATATTATTTAAAGGAGCTGCTTTAATTCAGGGATGTCACCATTAGAAAAAAGGATAGGAGGTTGGGGGGAGGTAAACGCATTAGTAAGAAAAAAGTCTCCACACGCACCATGATCAAAAAAGCTGTTCGAGGAGGAAAAATAGATTTCCACCTCAGGGGTAAAAAGAAAACTCTCATAGACCTCCCAAAAATTCAACCCAGGCCCTTTACTTTCCTAATGGTTCATCCCTTATAACGCCCCATGTAACGGAATCCGGAATCTGGGAAAAATTTGCATGTGGAATCCGGAATCCTGGGTTTTGGAGTCCGGAGTACAGCTCAAAGAATCCGAAACCCCACTAGCAATTTGAATTGAGAATCCAAGTTCCACTGACAAAGACTGGAATCGAGTACCTGTAATCCGGAATCCGTGACGTGGAATCGAGAATCCAAGACTATCTTGGATTGCCTTACATGGGGTGACTTATAGGTCGGCTTGTTGAACTGCTTCTGCTTGATCCCAACACGTAGCACGATACAATGTTTAGTTTCTGTTACCTTAAGATACGTAATGTTGTATTAAACCTGAAGAAAACGAGATGTTTACTGTGATTGTTGATCTCTTCGATGCCTTAAACCATTTTAAAAGAACTTCTCCTTGAATTGGAATAGTTAATATTTGATTAACAAACCACTCTCACCTCAGAGGCGCTAAATATTTTCGATTCTAGGACGTTTTTTACATATTTTAAGGGAAGTTTCTGGTTATGTCATCATCCCGCTAGGTAAATCGGTTTTCAAGCAAGAAAACCCAACTTTTAAGCAGAAGTTTGATGAAAAATATTTGACCTCGTATAGCCATACAACGTCATAAGAAGAGTACCATGGTAGCGACCCACAACCGTGTCACGGGTCTCTTGGCAGCCAAATGACTCAGTAAAACAAAAACGTGTTCAAACCTATTTTAGACATTCAGAGATGTAACTTTGAAAAAAAAAACCCAGAAAAACGGAAGTAAATATTAAGCGGAAGTTAGGATTGGGAATAATTTTGCCAATCCGTCTTGGCCAACTACTCCAGACTCGTACCCAGTCGCTATTTATTTATCCCCGCGCGCCTTAATCTTCTCCCATCCAAAAAACACATAAAGAGTGAATGGTGCGATTGTAAACATTTATAGATTTTCCTCTCCAGGCATGGGCAAAGTCAAGTTTAAGTACACACCTGGTCAATCGTGAAGCATGCAATACTGCAAATATTAATCATATTTCCAAACATGGTCATGTTAACCGGTGCCTATATTGAACATCTATTGAATGAGATTTTGTGATATCTGGAATAATCAAAGGTCGAAGTGTTACCAGCCGAGCCAAAGGCTAAGGTTGATAACACTTACCGAGACCTTGATTATTCCGGGTATTACAAAAAGTTAATCTAGTCATACATTGTTTTGAAGAAAGTAACAACACACCGCGGCACGGAACATAGTTTGACATTGCCCTTGGAAATCATGCATTGCACGCGCAAACTGCAGACAAGTCAGTTATCTGCTAGCAGATAATTAACTAATCTGTAGGTTGCGCTTATGTTCAAAATAAACTGTAGGCTCTTAGCCAATGAGAAGGCACTCAGTACGTACAATGTCCAATAATTATTTTGGTTATATGTATATAAATTTATTTCAAAAAAGACATCTTGCAAACGGACTTACAAGGAAAACAAAAGATTCATGCACAGAGTTATTGCCCCCGCAGGGATTTCGCCCAGAAGGCGAAATCCCAAGGAGGCACTCTAGTAACTCGGCGTGTAATAAGGAAAGTACTTACAGTTAAAATATACAGTCATACAGTCAATATAGAAAAAATCTCGATTTGCTTGAACAGGGGCTGCGAGGAATCGGTAGGTAATGATGACGTTTCTATTGTTTGCGCCCTCAAGTACGAAATGGTTAGGATGACGTAAAGACAGAACATCCCCAAGGGACCGCTTATGTAGATTTTGTGACATTTATTGTGCAGTCATACTTCGACACTCTTTTGCGTTACGTGTTATCAGTGACATTCTGTGGAGCAGTTGTTTCAGTGAAAGTTATGGACCAAAATTTTAAAGACACTCGTCAAGAGAGTTTGCCAGACACGAGTTCACAAATCTTTCATTGGAAACCTTGCCAGACACTCTTTCTCTCTCTCTTTGACCGGAATAAGACTCAGCCCTAAACAAGCAAGACGAGTGAACAACGGCTAGCTTCTCACTAGCAGGACGATGGACGATTACAGAAATTCGCCGACAATCAAATTCTGTGCTGACTTATTCCCTGCACACAGATGTGCTTCCGCTATAAAGTTTAAAATAAGACTAGAATGCGCGAGTGTGAATTGATCAAACGTCCTTTTAATTTCTAACGCTTCCTTTCCGGCAAATAAAATGAACTGAAAGTAAAAAGCGAAAGAGAAATACCGAAACATTCAACTTCTAATTAAATCTTTTCTTATGGTTTAGAATAAACTATTCTCGAAACTGAGAATGTTTTGATCAAAGCTGTGTAAATCGACCTGAAACTGTGCATGGAACCTCGCGTTTCCTGTATTTATCTCACCTATTGTATGGAATATGTGTGAAAATCTTTCTTATGAATCGGTATATTTCAAAGAGCTACACAACGAGCCAGAATGCTATTGACCGACAATATACAGAGCGGGGGCAGCTGTTGTGTCAACTATTACTAGTTTATACTGAAGGAGGTTAAGTCCTCTCCCGATAGCAAACTGATAAAACTTCTTCCATTTGATAACTAAACTTGTTTCCGTCACTACGACATTCTCGCTAAAACCCGTTGTAGAATGACGCCGGCTATCACGTTTTCCCGCCAAAATGACGCTGTGCCACGCGCATGCACTACTCAGTACTGAGAAAATCTCGCACTCGAAGTCGTCGTTCACGCTGTCTATTGGCAGATTTGACGTCCATTTCGTCAACGTTTCTCGGAAAATCGCGCGAGAGAGAAAAACAAATTGCGCCACTATGACGTCACTCCCATGATCTTTACTCTTATCGATCATGGCTCTCTACNTGACGTCCATTTCGTCAACGTTTCTCGGAAAATCGCGCGAGAGAGAAAAACAAATTGCGCCACTATGACGTCACTCCCATGATCTTTACTCTTATCGATCATGGCTCTCTACCAATCAGCGCGCGAGAAATGGCTCAGTTATTTCAAAAATGGCCTTAGCACACCAATATGGCGACCGTGACGTTATGATAAAACGCTTAATCGGAAGTAGTAAGTCTGTCACACTGACCTCAGTTATCTTTTCAAAAGCAGCAGTCATGTCTTCAGTTGTAAGAGGATAAATTCTTTCAGTCTTGGTTTTCTGAGAGACAAAATTAAAAAAAAATACGAGGTGCATCAAACTCTTAACACTTCTTTATGCTCGGCATTAGTTTTTACTGGTGTGTTGCCAATAATACAAAAAAAAAATACTTCAAATGCTGTGCTCTAGCAGCAACTGGGTGACTAGAAAATCTTGTTGTTGTTGTTTTTACCCCTAAAAATCCCCATATTCCGGGAACGCTGGATTTAACAGGTTCAGAGCATCGGGCTCCCTTCAGAACACAGTTTCTTGAATAATGTCATTTTTTACACAACAATGTAACAATTAAGGAAAACAGATAATGGTTGAAAAAATGGGAGTCGACAGTGCCATTCAAAGTCTAATTCGTTCTGCAAAAAGAAAAATTTAATGGTAAAACTTCCATTAAAGGGCCAAGTGGCCAAATGGTTAGAGCGCTGGACTTGCAAATTGGTGGCCCCGAGTTCAAGTCCAACTCTGACAGCTAGCTGGATTTGTTTACGGTAGTCCCAAGTTCAAATCCTCAGCCATGCTTGTAAATAGCCAGGAATTGTCTCCGGCTGGTTGGGATTCTTAACCCTCTTAAGTTCAATTTGAATTGTTTGCTTTAGGCATGTTCTCGGCCCCACTAGCATAATTTAGTGCTATAAACACTGCCGAGGGTAAATAATGGAATTATTATTATTTATTATTATTATTAGAACTCCAAACCATCATTACTGCATTTCGAAAATACGGGAGAGTCACATGACCAAACAAGTCACTCAAAACAGCCATGTGATTCAAAATTCAAATAATCGTCTTTTGGAAGGTGCTAAAAGTTTAGTGATTTCAGTAGTAAAAGCAAGAGCTCAACATGTCACTTGTAACTTCTTACTTCAGGTAATCTGTACAGTTTGACTGTCCTCTGCATAGTCATGTTGCGGCTAAGGTGTGAAAACTTGACTTCAACAAGTTTCTTTGGATTAAGCGACCTGTGCCAGTATCTACAATTTACAGAGTAAGGGCAAAAACAACAGAAAATAAGAACACAACGTCCAAGGAATGAGGGTAGGCTCAACTATCAACCAATGTCCAGGAAATGAGCCTGTGCTCCCCCCCTCCTCCCCCCCGCCCCCTGTGAGTAGGGGAGGACTGAGACTATGGCAGAAATCACGCCTAAATGGAGAGTGAAATTTACATGTACACATTATGTACAGTTTCGTGCTTAAGGAGTAAATTATGGCGTGTGGATCCAAACCTCATTTACATTGTACAGTAAACAGAAATACACGATCATCCAATGAGTGTACTAGCCCTGAATAGGACTGTTGTTCACAGTGACTGACATTTTGACAACCTGTGTGGTAGCCATCTTCAAAGTCAAGGTGAGTTGTATCATATCACTTGATGGTATTAAACTCTGGTTCAACTGCCTACTTACAAAATGACCACTGGGTTCAAACTATTCAGCAGAAATATATCAATCACCACCTTTTGAACACAGTGATAAAAAAAAATAACATCATCAGCCCTCACTTCTGGGATGACTCTTTATGTTACTGCCTCAACATATGGTGGCTGACAACTATAATACTATTACCAGCAGTAGCTACAGCTCAGAAATTTGGCAGACAGATTTCTGAACGGTGTGCAAAGGCGGTATATACCGTACTTGGTGCAGTACATGTACATTTGTATTTCATGAGAAGATGCAGAGTAGTGTAGGGAAGAGCTTGCTAGTCTTTTGGCTGATCAGGAGATGTTAAGTACTGTGCTTCAGATAGAGAGCCCATCACATATTGAGTCTGAGTCAAGAAGATTAATGATGATGATATCGTATGCATGAGTACCTACCTACAGCATGCCACTGGCTTAGGCAGCACTACACCTGCAGTGTAAACAGCCTGGAAGATGCCCTGCAAGTTCACTCTCCTGGTAATCTCTCTTATCAGCACAGGGGCCACTCTCTTTGATCGTAGCTTCTTGTGTACACACAGGAAGTTAATTTCAACCATCAAGACAGTCCTTGACAAAGGTAACAAAAAATGACTTAAGATGGAATGTACACGGGACAGGAAATTCTGTTAAATCTGCTTCCTGGAGGGTAGGGATTGCACAGTGATGAGAACACTACGGTCTTGTAAAATAGCCAACTGGTTTGCCTTCTACCAGTTGGGATTCTTAACCCTATACAGTTTGATTTGAATTATTTGTTTCAGGAATTTGCTTGGCCACAATAGAATAATTGCTATAAATACATTGCCAAGGGTGAATAATGGAAATTTATATTTTATTTCTTTAGTGACCATCAGATTCTGGGGAGGATTCTGAGGACGGGGGACTCAGTGAAGAAGTTGTGTAAAAGATCTTTTCAACAAAGGAAATTCAGCAAGCTGGCAATTGGTTTACTTTTCACAGACTTTGAATGAAAATTATTTCTACTTTCACGCATACCAGCAACATAGACCAAACACAAGATACCTTTTCAAAACCCTTTACTGTGAAACTCACAAAACCATGAATTATTTTAAACCAGGAAATTATTTTATGGAAATTATGTTGTTGTGTTGCGAAAAGAAAGCCAATAAGGCGTGAGAAAACTAAACCGCAAACAGAAATGGTAATTAGTTTGTGGTTTCGTCGTTTGCTTGCGCGTCCTAAAATCAATTGTGATTGGTAACTACACAACCAAAATTCCTGAAATTTTTCAGGTGTTTTTTGGTTTTGTGAGTTTGACAGTAAAAACCATTTTGCAGTATTTTGAATTCTGCCAACAACTGTCTTCAAGAGCCAGTGAGTGTCACAGGCAATACCTGGAGCTACATATGTATGCCATCACAAGTGGCACGTGCATGAGAAACACATTCGTACACATACGAGACAATATAATACAAGTACTTTGGAGTTTTGAATAGAGTGATGACAATTCAGTTAACTGGATGTCACTACTTACTGTTCGTAAACTCTGATGTGCGCAGGAATAGCACTGATAAAGCCAACCAGCTTCTTGTTACTTGCGACACGCACACCACAGTGCCATTCTGATTTCCAGCCAGGAGGTTTAAGAGCCCTGAAAGATCATTTGTTACCTAACTTAAATTTAAATTTAAAGATGGATCAACAAATCTTATCAGTATTTTATCAGTATGTAATTGTGTGTGTGCAAAATAGGTAGTAGAATAGTACAGACTATATTATGAACTAATTCTACAGTCTTTTTTGGTTTATTTGTAAGTATTATTAACTGTTTCACCGATCAAGTAAAATCACTCTAGTTTTCTTTTCTTTTCATTTTTTTGTATCTTTTTTCATGTTCATAAGTGACCGAGTGTAAAACATCATAATACATGAATTTATTGTAAGACAAAATAAAAATTTATTAAAATACAAAAAAAAAATGAAAAATTCTTACAAAAACTTTGATTGCAAGAAAAACATTATGTTGTATGCACATGCAATTGGTAAAAATGAAATTAAGGACACACTGGCACTTAGTGAGTCAGACTAAATTAATAATAAATTAAAACCCTTTAAACCCTAACATCAAAATTCAAATTCTTATTTGTTATCCCTATACGTTTTCAATAGAAGTAGTGGGGAGAATTTGTTGAACTATCAATTAGATTCATCTTGTATGATCATGTCCTCAATTCTCATGACCACTGTGTTTTATAACGCAGTGATCATTACAAGGAGAAATTTGATGCTGATCACTCTTAGGGCTTAAAGGGTTAACAGACATTATGACTACTCAATACAGACCCTAAATGCCTTTAACTTTTCTAAATTGATGACCAAATTAAAGAAAGGTCACCAAATTGACCAATATATGGCTCTTTGAAAAAAGTTCATCTCATTTACCAGTTCTGAATTTCATTAATGTAATTTGTCAAACATTCTGTTATTTGAATGGTGTTTTCTTTAAGACCCCTTATCAGTTTAGATTTGTATAACAGTAGTAGAAGGTGTATCAAAAGTAAATCGTTACATATATCGAGGAAATCGACAAGTTTTGTTTATTTATTTCATACTTAAATAATACCAGTGACTACTATAAAAGCTCTAGATACTGTCACTTCAGTGTCTAAACATCACCTAGTTGTCTACCCTTCATTATCAGCTCAAATAAAGCTTTGACAACATTATTTTTTTTGAATGGTTCTTTCAATAATAATAATCATTAATCATCACTGGTTCCAGTTTTAAGAAGTTACATCAAACACTGTATTGCTATCTGCTTTTATAGCTGGTGGCCATTTTAGGAGAAGCCTTGCCCAACTAGTACTCTGATAGTGTGTCAATAGTATGCCCTTGGTGTTAAAGTACATGCAGAATAAGGTAATGGTATAGATGTTACATGTACATATCAAAATTAAATTCAGGATGAAATTTTTTAACTGTAGGTTGATTCTCTATTTTCCTTTGTCTCGTAACCTTAATTATCCCTTTAATATAAGCCCCAAGATCCAAATACAAATTCTCCAGACCGATCTCCATACATTTCTTTTAAGAATAGTTGAGAGAATTTGGTTTAAGATCAAAGTATTCTCCCTTTGGTCATCAATTTAGTAATTCTCATAACCTCTTTACTCTTGTTGATCTGCTGATGTTGTTAGGAAAAAATTGATGTTGGACACTCTTGGAACCTAAAGGGTTAATTCATAAATCAGGGCTAGGAGACAAAGGAAATAGAGAATCAACCTAGGTTAAAAAATTTTATCCCGAATTTAATTTTGACCTGCAACATAGACATCAGTGGATTTTGGTCAAGAATATTAATACACTACCACCTCATGAACTTCACTCCACTAACTGAGTCTCATGATTTGTGCTAAAATCAAAATTAGACTCGCCTTTATTGTTGACTTGCTTATGCATTTTCAAAGGGATTACTGGTTAAAAACCATTATGACGTTTTATCAAATGTCGTCCTAACGCAAATGTGCATGCGTTCAGTTAGTGTCTATCGCTTACTGCTAACAAAAGAACACCCAAATTCAAGCATAATGGATCAAAATGCTACACTTCTAATTGGTTACTTCCTCTAACAACGCATTCCAGGAACAAAGTCACTTTCTTTTGCTTGCAACCACACAAGCAACTGACGAACAAAATCATCTTAGATTTCTGAAACCAACTGGTCTTGCTATTTAAACAGTTCTTATCAAGACTCTATGGCTACCATTAATTTTATTGTTAGAGCTTAAATCTCTTCACTTGATCAACAACACTAAAAGAGGTATTCACGGTTAGCGTCAAAGGACAATATTATTACAATTTGCATCTGTTGCAAAGCTGGTTTCCATAATTATTAATGCTTTCAAGAATCATTTGCTGAACCTTTTTTCAGTACAGATTGTCACCATGATAATATTTTATGGAAAACAGGCTTTATAGCCCAACCAACTAAACTCAACAGGACAAAAAAAAGCTTTCACAGCAAAGTCACACTCCTTTGCTGTGATTGTGAATTAAATGGTTCCAGTTGAGTTCATTGCACTACAATTTGCTCCGGCAGTAAATTTCAACATACCACTTTCTCATTGCTTATATCCAGAGTGTCCCAGACAAAGCCTTGTGGGAGGGTGTAAGGTTCACTTCTCAGCTCCTCAATTGGTTTGTTCTCTTCAATACACCCACATTCGCTCACTTCCTCATCTGAAGAGTTAGAGAATAACAAACACATTTGTACAATGGTACAATGAATTATTTTCCATAAAGAAGTGTAGCTACAATATTGAACAATGGTTCATAAAGACACCAAAAAAAGCTTCCTTTGCTAAACATATACTGTAAAATATTATAACTGAATTTGTTTTATAAGGAAATGGTTTTGCTCTATTGTCTTTATAATCCACCCCTTTTACTCCTGCATGCCTGTGTGTCCTGTGTGTGAAGCTTTGAGAGGAAACTTGAGAAAGAGAGGAAACCAGTGGTGGTATCAGGAAATGTCAGCTACCCAACCCCCCCCTTACCACAGCTGGGCAGTGCTTCTTACTGACTGAAAATCTGCTTCAAGCAATCAGAAGCACTACGCAGATCTTGGTAGTGACACATCATCAGTATGGAATTTCTTCAATCGTTCCGCAGATGTCATTTCTTGGTGAAACCTGTGGTGGTGTCAGGAAATGTTGGCTGTTTTCTGATTGCATTTTTGGGCACTCTTTAGGATTAAGTCAAACCACTTCACATAATAAAAACAGTGTCCTTTTTTAAGAGTGACCAAGTTTTGTCTGGGAACTGGTCTTACAAATTATTTGAGTTTGGAGCACCCTGTTGGATTATCAGCGGAAATAAACTATTCAGATAAAAAACATGCATAATGATTTTTAATTTTTTTTACCTATCATAGAATGGCACACTTAATGCTTAATATTTAGGAATTTGACTAACTAAAGAAAAAGCATGGTAAAAAAAATGCTTATGTCGCTGTTCGGTTTTACCTTTTGTTCACTTTTTATGTTTCTTTTAATTAGAACCCATTATAATATCAAATTATTGTCATACACAAAAACAAAGGGAGATTTAAATGAAACCAAATACAAGCTTAAAATTGTTCACCACAGAAGCAACAATGTCAATATCAGTATAACAGTCAAGTGATCAGTCACATTTTGCCATTCACCGAAGACGATTTGAACGAAAATGATCTTAAAAATGATTTTAAAGATACACTTGTTTAAAACTGAAGTACATAAAATTCAAGACCAAAAGACTAAGAACCGAGACACAACCTCATCAACATTTGATGGAATTCAAGCTGAAAACATAACCAGTAAATATAAATATCTCTAAAGAGAAAACTATGTAGACTTAATAAAAAGAACGCGAAAATTGTTGTCTCTTAGTTTTCAATTCGTCGCGTGCACATAGACTATAAATATTAAAACCAATTATTTTGATAATTAATGACAAAGTATGCAAGTCGAAACAAACCCCACCTAACTTTGGCACAGGTTGGGTATCCCAAAATTGATATTTCTTTCTTAAGGCCTCCTCTGTTGTCTTCGGTGCTTTTGCCTCGCCAGCTCTCAGAAGCTCAAAGCTCTTCTGTAAATTCTGAAGCTGTCGAAGATTCTGTAAGTTCATTGCAACCGAAGAAGTTAAAGATTCCGATGAAAGAACCTCACTACTTCCTCCATCGCTCTTTCCTTTTTTCTTCTTTTTCTTCTTTTTAGAGCTGCCCGATGCTGGAGGCTGCACTCCCCTCGCAGGCTCCTCTTCAGTAGTGCCATTAATTTGAGGATCTGGAGGTTCTCTATCGCCGCTTTGCTCTTGTAAAGACTCGATCTTCTCCGGTGATTGGTCTCCTCCTGACTTGTCCGCCATTTTGAAAAGGGAAGAATGCAGAACACATGTTGGGACCCAGTCCGCTATCAGATCACTTCCCATCATGCTCAAAAACATCTCTTGGATAAGCCTGTCATGTACGTCTTCATATATTTCCCTTTATTTGCTTGGTCATAAGTTCGTGGTAGTAAATGGACACTTACATGAAGTCCTTACGTAACTGCAAAGTCACGAGACTTTTGTGTTACGAAGTGCAAGGCTAGTGCAAGGCAGTATCAGCGTTTGTTTCGCAGGGTTTGAGCATAATTTTTGATCAAGATGAAAGGGGTTTTTGCATTCCTGGCTGTAGCTTGCTTCTATGTAGTCTGCACTCGCGGAAGTCTCCATGCATCTTGTAAAATTGAATGGTAAGAAAAACTTCATTGCGTAACCTGTCAGAGTAATGGCAATCGAGCACCAAAAATTTTAAAAAACTGAGTTATTTCCAGTTCAGCATTAGAAATTTGTTAGTAATCTGTAATCATTCGTGGCACATTTAAAATGGGTAATTTTTGTTTTGTCGGAATCTTCGGAAGAAAGAAAAAAGGTTTCATCGACCCTCCTACTCACCCCCACCCCCCGTCCTCCCGTACCAAATTAAAGGGGGGACAATCATTGGGCATTTTTTTTGAGGCGGGGGGTGGGGGTGTAAACCATTTAAATATAAACATGAAGAGAGAAAAACCAGACCCTACCCATAATAATAATAATAATAATAATAAAAATAATAGAGCTACTATGAGAGAGATTCAAAAGATCTGCGTGCTGGGATCTACCCGAATCCTCAGAAAGGTGCTCAGTGTATGAACAGAATGATTGACTTGAGTGACTGACGCTCTAGGTGCATGGTTTGTGCCCGGCTGATGCACAAACAGAACACCAGCAAAGACTGTGATAAAAGAGATAATAATAATAATAATAATGATAATAATAATAATAATAATAATAATAATAAAGTACAAGAATGAAGTATTAAGGAGAAAATTACCTACCCATCAGGCATATCAAACTCCATGGCTAAAAAAGGAGACTGTAGTCTTATGGCATTTGGGGCAAACAATTTTATGGTCAAACACTGACCTTAATCTTTCAGAAAAGAATGCCTTTAGTTTGCCTAAGAAGACGCTTAGAGAAGTACTACCCTTATCATATCATTATTAGGTATTAGTATTTTTAATAGATCTGATCTTGACACTGTTGCAGGACATGGGGGGTTAATTGCACTGTTGTAAGGAATGCCATTTTGAAGCAAATAGACAAATGGAAATCAGATGAAAACTGCAAAAATGGTGGTGAAAAGTGTTTATACACGGTAATCTTTAGTTATCATTATTTTCCTTCTCATAGTGACCATAGGCTGAACTTTGTATGTTAATTCCCATTTGGAAAATGTGGCTGAAATATCCGCTGTTATTTGACGTGATGGATTTTTGTGATCTTCGTAGTGTTAGTACTATCATAGTTGTACATGTACTTTGTCCTGTAGTGGGTCTTTCTCCCACAAGGTCATGATCAAACTGAATGGTTGAAGATTTTCAATAGGATGGTTTGTGTAAAATAACGATAAGCACACAACAATACCTCTTGGCTAAAACCCTGGTCAGAGGGGTTTATTTGAATGGTCACAGGATAGGATTTCGTGAACACTAGCACGCTTAAAGGTTAGAATTAGATTACACAGCACAATACACCTAACTTTTGTACAATGGTTCTAGATGTAAAAGTACTACTAAGGAGGTTTACTTTTGTTTTGAAAAATGTTATTCTCACCCACAGTCTCAGTATTACATTAGTGAAATCCAATGGCAAAAAAATGTGGTACTATAAAACTGTACTTCATATTATTTATTCATGGTTTAAGATTGTTCAACATTTGCCTGCACCATGTTGATCAACTTTGCAGCTTGTTGAATGACTAGCTGAGAGAACAAGTTCGACAATTTTAAGGGAAGGAAAGGAGTTATAGCCTGGGAAAACAGCCAACTTTTCACTATGCCATCTGTTGTTTCCCCACGAAATGACATCTGAGAAACAAGCGTAAAAATTCCATACTGTTGACGGGCACAACCCAGATCTGCATAGAGCTTCTGGTCGGTTGGAAATTTGCTTCATCTAGTCAGAAGCACTGTTCAGATCTGGGTAGCGACGCAGCTGCTGGCATGGTGAAATATCAGCTGTTTTCTCAGGCTAGGAAGGCGCCAAACACGTAACATTTTTAAATTAACTTGCAGCTGAAGGGAGTAACCGCTACTCAGATTAAAGCTACTCACGAAACCCCAAAAGCACACTACATTGATGACCTCACATTTACTGTCAAGGCAAATTCAACTAGTAAACTCTGCAATATGGAGGTAAGCCAGACCTTGACATTTAGTTAAAAAATAGCTCTCTTTAGAGGGCACAATGTTCACAGTTTTTGTTATGTTGGTTGTGCACACTAAATTGCAACTTTATCGGCAGCTATATATGTCATATAAGCATGACATGTTACCTGTTGTGTCAAAGAGAAAAGGGTGTGATTTCTTGCATCTAAGAAAAACATTTGACTTACTGTATACAAGGTAATGGTGATGTGTATTTATCTGACACAACAAAATAATAATGTTTCACATTCATGTGATATTGCATGCCGAAGACTAGTGTAGAAGAAAATGAAGCATGACTTCTTGCATTGAGGATTTAATTATTTATTTATTTATTTATTTATTTTTTGATGCAAATGGTGACACTTCACCTAAGTTCATGTTATTATGAAGTAGCTAATGGCCACAATTACATGTGCATGAATGTAATGCACATGTTGTAACTGATCATGTGTGTTATGGGGCCAGCCTTCTATCACTTTTAATCTGGTGTGGTGGGTTGAGATGAAACTTATGCTTAAACTTATGCAAAGCACAGTGTTGAAGCAAAAGCCTTTTGATCTTTGACCTCTGATTGTTTTTGACCTTTTCCCCACCCTCCCTAACCTTCGGTTATTACTAGTGTCAGGGACAGATCCAGGGGGAGGGTGCAGGGGCTGCGTGCAACCCCCCCCCCTGAGAAAAAACTGTGTGGTTTATTAGTGTTGAAGTAGAGCAAGAGACAAGTACACCCCCTCCTAAAAAAAATCCTGGATCACCCCTAAGTGTCATGTATAGTGTGCATGACGGTGTTTTTTTTTTTTGTTTTTTTTTTTAACAGGGCTACTCTACTTCTGAGTTATGGTATGCTGTCCTTGATTATGGTACAAACTATTGCAACCTTCACAACTTAATCACAGGTACGAAATGTAACTGTCTTTTCTGAATTTCTTTCTCATGGTTTCTGAATTTTGATTTAATTTTGAAATTTAAGTTAACATCCACAGACCTAAACCCTAATATATACACAGTTTTAATGACCAGTTCAGCAGTGTCTAGTGTGTAGAGTTCATGTTGCTGATGCCTCAAAAAAGCAGCATACTGCAAGTGGTCCAAGCACATTAATTAGTCTTGCAATCTGCAGCATTTCACGGCTTGAAATAACGGCTGGTAAACAGACAATGTCCATTCAAAAATAGGTTTTGTCCGGTCAAATTCTTAGATGGCTGGACATTTTGTCTGCTCTTTTTGCATCTAATGTAATTAAGATGTTCACTTTTTTCAAATAAGTCTGGTCAAGATTGGACATTATTGCTGACGTTCGTGAAGGAAAAAAAGGGGGGAGAGAGAGAGAGAGAAAGGCAGCCAGATCAAGAACTTTTATAATATAAACCAAACAAATCGGCCACTTGCTGATCAGGATTTGTTTTTCAGTCATTTTGATGTCAAGTCCTCTGCCACGCTAGTAAGTTAGCCAACTGGCTGCCTCCTCCCAATTGGGGCGATGCAATAAAGAAGGCAACCTGACCCCGCAAAATAGTTAAACAGAAATTTTTATTTCTTAATGAAAAATAATGAAAGAGTGTGGTTGTTGCCAGTGACACTTGAATGTATTTGTTCGAAAGACCAGGGGGAGGGGTCAAATCAGCATTAATTTTTTTTTTACAGGGAGGCCATGCCCCAAGGTCCAACCCTGTACCCTTATATATACCTTGTATGCTAGGAAAGGTACCCCTTTCATATACCTTGAGAAATGGTGCCCCTTCCAAAGACCTATAGTTTAGAATGTTACACCCAATTTATGTGTAACTTATGTAAAACTTGACAGCTGAAGATGAAGCCAGAAAAAGGAAATACAATAACAAGCAGAAAGAAAAGCTGCTCATCTACAGTAGAGAGCCCTTCTCATCCCCTTAACCCTTTTCTCTATCCACAAGGAGCACTTGCAACTTTCCTACCATTTGATAACCCTCCGATCCAGGGTCCACATGCTCCCTTCCTTATAATTATTTTTTTAAAAAAACTAGAAATGTGTAGTTCCAGAAAATATCCATTATACTCCCCCCACAGAAGGGATTGGAAATTCCTGGGGGTGTGGGGGGCTCTCAAAAGCCCCAAAATTTAAGTATTAATGTATAAAGCTTGACTGAGGTGGGGGGAGAGGTTCAAAGGAAAAATCCCTTCTGTGGGGGAGGTATGGATAATTTTTGAAACCACACAATAAAGAAAAAATTAAAATTAAGAAAAATGTTAACTGCAACACTTTAGATACATACAACCATAGATGAACTTCATTCATTGGTTCAGTAGTTATAAGCATGCACAATACAGTGCTTTTTGTAGTTTGATCTCTTGTGAGGATAATAAAAAAGTGAACTGATGATCAATCTTAAATAAATACTGATCAAACTAATTATTAACAATCTACAGGTGCTGCACTTGACACGTTTCCAGGATACAAAGAAGTAACAAGTGACAGTGTTTGTACACAGTACAGTTCAGCTAACTGTGAAAAGTACTAAAAAAGAAGATAACATTGTCAATAGGGATTGTTGTCAAAAAAAAATCAATAGCAAACTTAACAGGCAACAGGATGGGGGAAAAATACGGCAAACCTTCTGTGACAATTGTGACATGATTTTAAAAAAAAAATTAGAAAACATCACCTTCCTTTTAAAAGAATCTTTTGTAGCAGTAAACCTGAATGCAGTAATGTTAAAGCTAGTGTGCATATTACTTGCATTCATTCCCCATCCCAATTATCCTTATTGATGGGTATTTGCTTCAAACTTCCACTTACTCAAAATTTTTTCAGTTTCCCAAGAAGGTTTCAGTTATCGGGGGTCGATTGTACACATCCTTTATATTCTCAATGGAACTTATTAGCATATTAGTCAAAGACATTACACACAAATGACAAAATCACTGCTTCGTTTTGAGCAAATTTGTCCCCCAAGCATTATTGTCAAAAGTTACAGATGAAAAAAAGAAAAACAATGATTTAAAAAAATGGTAGGCATGACAGACAAAGAGCATTATGGTATGTTACATAGTATTTTCTGTAGTGGTCAATTAAGACTGTTTTGTTTAATATATATAAATTAAGTTAGATTAAAAAGTTTTCACATAACAATCAAAGTTAATATTGATGCAGATATTTTGATATTAATATAATAGCATAACAGTTAAAAGTAATTTTTGTAGTTTCATGCAGTAACTGCTAACAGTCAGCTGCAGGTCAAATTCAAAGTCATTTTAATTTGATTGTCCTTCTGTATTAAACAAGTGATCAGTGTCACACCCCTGCAGATGGACAGTCATATGTATGGATGGATATATGGACGGACAGACATACAATACATACAGACAGTTTTCTCCAAACCAAAATTTCTTGGATGCATCAGATATTCCAAATTTTCTTACCATGGTGCTGTGCACACTTCCCTTAAAAAAATAATTGGTCACCTGATCATGAGAAGTGGATACTAGTGATGGTTCTTTGGGTGTTTACTGAATACAGCTTTCAGTGACTTGATTAAATTTTGAAAAGGCACATGAAAATGAAAACATTTGGAAGTAAAGTTTACAAAGCAACAACACAAAGTTAACAACAAGTTACACAATTAGTCTATTTCAGGTGTTCAGATAGTGAATTTGGCAGGAAATGCAAAGAGATGGACAAGAATGCATGTCTGTGGGATATGTTTGTCTTCCAACCCCCAGCCCATGGCCATCACGGGTGTTTCCTGCTTACTTTTCTTTGCTCTGTGCCCACGCTCTGATTGCCTGAAATAAGCTACCACTAAATAAGAAAAGTGGAAACCAATTTTTTGCAAGGTTAAGTAAAACACAATTAAAGAAATCACAACCATTTTTGTATTATGAGTTTTTTTGCATTTGTCAGGAATACAGTCAAACTTGTATCAAGCGGTCACCCTTTGGAAATGGCATACTGACTACTTTAATAGAGGTTCACCATTTAAAACAGGTTTGAAAAAAAATTATGTGAGAGTTATTCAGGAAAATGAAGGTAGGCAAAGACTGAAATTTCTATTCTACGAGTTTCTACCTCTTCTTAGGCCAAAAGAAAAAGTTAAAGACCACTTGATACCATACACAGTGCAACCTGTTGCACTGGTATGGTACGTCTTCTCAAAGTGATTGTTTAATACATGTATAGGTAAAGGCAATAAAAAATAATTCATTGGGACCTCAGAAAAGGTGACTGCCATTCAATGAAGTACTACTTGTACTTTTCATTTTGAACAAGTTTTGTAGTTGTAGTTTTACTATGATAGAAGTCAAATCTGGAACAGAAATTGAGGAAACACTTCAATAAAAGAAAAACACTTCTGATAAGCTGCATACTTTTCAACATTCTCAACATTCTTATTTGGACTCTTTTCTTTTTCTCTTTAATACTATGAAATTTAAATGACTTGCACAGAGTCGCGGCTGCATGTTAAGATTGTAACAGAAGTTTATGACATGCATTTTTCTTTGAAATACAGAGAGATTATTTTTTGGCAAAAAATAAAAGAGTAATCTGGTGATATGAATTGTCTTACTTTAGCGTAATAAATGAATTGTGGAAAAAAAATAGTAGCAAACTGTATCTGTCCTTACAGACACACACTCTTAACTTAAATAGTACAGAATTAAACATACCAGTAGGACCCAAATCATAAAGAGTTTAACATAGCCAGCAAAAGTCAGGTGATACTGGTCAGCTGATATACCCAAGTGAAAAACTACCGTAAAATTCCGAAAATAAGCCCTAGGGCTTATATTTTTCAACAGCCCTTTTTGAGGGGCTTATTTTTGGAGGGGCTTATCTACGGAGGGAAATTTGTGTTTTAAAATCGATTGGGCTAGCCTCATAGTTGAAAGGAATCTTACTGTTTTTGTGTTGTTTTACTTTGTATTTGAGGGCAATTTACATATACAAGCCTCCGGGGGAAGCTTATATTTGGAGGGGCAATTTAATGGAGGGTTTTTTTCTGCATTATGAGTTTGGGGGGCTTATTTTTGGAGGGGCTTATTTTTGGAATTTTAAGGTACCCTCTGATTAGGACAGCACAAAACTGACTCGTTTTTCAGATTCAAAAGGCTAAAATACGCCCAGTTTCAGACCTTACAGGATCAAAACTCAAACTGCTCCTTGTTGCTTCTTGCCTGGCAATTTAGGGGAGGGGGACATTGATTGGCCATTGGAAGGAAGAGGTAAATCTTCTTTGCAGTAGTAGCCTGAGTGCGCACGGACTTTCCCTTTTCCTTCAAATAGGAAGGCCACGGAAAGGCTATCATCAATAACAGTAATTAAGTTTTTATTTATGGCACACAGTGGACAATGACATAAGTGATCTAAAACAATTAAAATGTACATTTTATTTGAATAAGAAATGCAACCTTGAGGTGACCTCAATCATTACTATAATATTGCCTTTTTATACACTGCAAGAAGGTCTTTCACCCTGCATTTTTACAGGTATCTTTCTTGAACTAATAAAAACAGTCATACAATAAAATGTTAATACAAGTTTGATACAATGTTTACAGGTACGAGGTAGGGAAGTGACGAAGTATATGTGACATATGTCACATGGATATAATTGAAGATAGTCACTGTGATGGGGATACAAGTTGATAATGATTGAAGCTTTGTTGATCCATTCTTTGCATACTTTTTTGAATGAACTCGTCTACTATCTGCAAGAAATTACAGGACTTTTTTAGTCTAACAGGTTTAGGGACTGCTTTGGTAACTTTTTTTATTTATTTTAAGTATTATCATTATCACTATTAATACTAATACTACTATTATTATATTATTATTATTATTATTTATAATTTTTAGTTTGACTCTTTTTTTTTTCATTTAAAATATTAATTCCATATAAATGTTACCCATGAAAAAAAGTAAGCATTTTAACTTTTATTACAGCTCTATTTTACTTTTGTTATAAAACTGACCAGCAAATCTTGAATAGAGATTTTACTTTATTTATTCGTTATAAGTTTGTTACAAATAATATAATGTTTGAATTGCTACAAATTAAAGTGAGGTACTAGCAAAGCATCAGGGGGTAAGATCATCCAGTTCCTTCACCAAAAGCACTGCATGCCATGGTGCATATACATGTATCATACCTTGCGGTCTGGCAGACACTTTCCAAATGCTTCCATCAAAAGGCAGCCTTCTTTTAAAACAGCAGTTTCATAATCCAGTGGTGAGATTTTTCCATCATGGTCTTCGTCCTACAAGATAAACATGATTGGCATGATAAAATCTTTTTCAAGTTTATGACTTGTTTTGACACAAAACAGAGAAATGAATGATTCTTGGCCATTTATATGTTCATTGCAAAATCAAATTAATACAAACACGTTTTCAAGTGCTGTTTTTTAAACTTCAAAAATTAATTGCCATCAATAAACCAGCTAGCGTGCAAGAGCAGGCCCCTTTTTCACCTCTTGTTTTACGGGTGAAACAAAAGCCTAAAAAGGCCTCTGCTCTTGCAGCGCTCGATGCAAACTGACAATTAATTGAAACAATTGCCACATCTCTTCCACTGAGCATTATTACTTCAGGAAAGATCAAATAACTTACCATTTTCTTCATTACGATATCAACAATTTCTTTCTCGTTTTCATCAGCGTCTTCTTCTGTTGCTGACTGATTGGGAAAAAAAAATTGAAAATGTATATATGTTGTAGTTAATTTTTATCTCCGGTAATTTGTTATTTTTCCTTCGTTTTAACTTCATTAGCATACATTTCCATACCCAAAAACAAAAGAAAAACAAAATTACCTGACTACAGGTGGTAATATGATATGTGGTATTACTACAGATGGTAATAAATGTTTTGTATCTTTGCATTTTTTTTTCTAATTGACCTTGATTACAACCAATGTCTAACTGGTCCCAAATGAGCCACAGAAAATAAAGCACAAACTGATAAACTGAGTTAGATGTTCACAACAGAACAAAAGAAAAAAACCACTAATATCACTCTTGAGGATGGTCAATTTGAAAATTTATTGCACAATAGTGTGAGAACCACCACAGACTTGACCATGCATGTACTACACCCAATCACACAATTCAAAATTAGAACACACGCATATCCCACAATGATATAATAATAATAATAATAATAATAATAATAATAATAATAATAATAATAATAATAATAATAATAATAATAATAATAAATAGTTTTAAATGGAACATAACATTGTTAAAAATCCCAACTGGTAGTAGGTGAACCCGTTGTCTATTTTGCAAGTGTGGCCGAGGATTTCAACTCGGAACTACCAAGAACAAGTCCAGTTTCCTGTCAGAACTGGACTTGAACTCGGGGCCTCCGAAGTAGAAGTCCAGTGCTCTAACCGCTTGGTCAGGCTGAGTGAACGATCAAAAAGAAACCAACTGAGTTTTAAAAAAAACAACAACAACAACAAGAAAGAAAAGATAACTAAGGTCAAACCGAACACATAGTGGTCACGTCCAAGTACTGA